ATCTCGGTCGCCAAGGCGCAGGCGGCGGCCATGAACGATCCTCAGCCGCAGACGGTGGCGACGCCCGAGGCAGACAAGCCAGCATCGCGCGGCGTCCACTTCGACACCGATGCCATCCTCGAGGAGCTCAGGGAGTCGGGCATCGAGGTCAAGGAGCTCCAGAGCTCGCTGCCGCCCCTCGTCGCGTCGACCTCGCACACCGCCACGACGCCCAAAAAGAGCAGCACCAGCAGCAGCGCCAGCCTGGAGCTCCCGTCGCCGGCCTTTTCCAGCGATCGCACGCCGTCGCCATCGGCAGGCAAGGCCGCCAGCGAGAGCCGCTACCAACCCCCTGCGCCCTCGGCCTCATCCTCTCGGCGCGGGTCGGGGGCGGACCAGGGAGCCGATGCAGCGTCGCAGCTGGTCGGCGGCGCCTCGGCCTCCAGAGGCCCCGCGCCGTATCCACGGAGCTTTTCGGCGTCGTCGTCGGGGCTCGCCTCGCCCTCGTACGCCGACTTTTCGTTGCCGGCCGCGCCTCCATTGCCGGATTCTGCGGGCGGCGGGGGCGTGTCGCTGTCGTTTGCGTCGTACGACGACGACGAGATTGTAGCGCCGGCACCCGTGTCCGAGGAGCGTTCGCGCAGCTACGGCCTGTCGAGCGAGACGGCCCGAGAGCTCGAGGCCAAGTTTCGGGGCGCCGTGGGCCCATCGCTGGCTTCGGCATCCGGGCCGGACGGGATCGCAGACGTGGCCGGCGGCGCAGGCCGAGGAGCGGGCGGCAGCAGCAACGGCTGGGGCTCGGTCCCGATCGCGCCGTGGGATCGCGACGTCTCTACGCCCGGCCTCGAGGCCGACGTCTTTGGAGGAGGGGGAGGTGGACCGGGGAGCAGTATCGGAGCGGGACTTGGCGGCGGCGGCGGCGGCTTCGCAAGCACCCTGGCACCGCCGTCGCAGACGTTTGGTGCGGATGCGTTCAAGGTCAAGCACAGTGGCGCCGCCCTCGACGAATCCTTCCTCGCCGCAGCCACGACGGCCGGTGCAGCGAGGCGGGAAGGCTCCCTCTCCGGCCCTTCGTCGTCGTCGTCGTCCATGCAGCAGCCGTCGAACCCTGGCGTCGCCGATCCATGGGCCGACAATCCATGGGGCGGAGGCGGCGGCGGAGGCTATTAGAGGGGCGGAGCAGCTGGCTCCTGATGAAGGCGCCAGGGTCCAAGGGCTTCCCTGGCGGCCCGTATCGAATGTACGCCTGCGAGGGCTCAGCACACGCGCCTCTTTGTCTGCGAACCGTACGACGTCGAAATTCGATATGAAGAGCACAAGGACGTCACGACGCGGTGCTGCCGGCGAGGTTGTGGCCAAGAGATGATTGGCGGGCGGCATCGTAGGCACCAGGTCAGGGTCAGGGTCAGGGTCGAGGAGGGAGAGCGAGCCATTCGGTACCGTACCATCAACCGACCCGGTCGGCTCGTTGGTCGTTCGGGAAGAAGGACGGCGGCGGCGTGGCGGCGAAGCGAAGCAGCTGAACAGCGCAGCGCAGCTAGGGCGGACGATGCGAGATGCTACATGGCTGGCTGGCTGGCGGGGCTTGGCAGGCAGATCAGGCACCCATCATGCCATGCCAAGCCATGCCCTGGCCTCCTTAGCTTGCTTGCTTGTGCTCTCGTGCCAGCGCCAGAACCCGATCCTAGCCCAGCCTGACCGGTCATGCCCGCCCGCCCGCCTGAGAAGAGTCGATCTTTACCCGAGCAGAGGAGCGCCAGGCAGGCGGCGATGTGCGATGTCGAAGTCACAGGCAAGGCGAGGCGTAGCAGGCCACGTACAGTTGGGGCAGGACAAGGCAGGCAGCAGGCTAGGGACGCGGACCGCGGGCCAAACCGAACGAACCAAGCTTGAAGGTCAACGGCGATGGGCCGGATTCGAAAAAGTCGTCGAAGGAGAGAGGGAGGCGCGCGATGATGCTGGTTGGCTGCGGAAGGAAGGGACCAAGGGCGACGTCTGTACGCACGGCGGGTCCGGTCCGGTTTCGCCTGGCTCTGCCGAGTGACGTGGGCATCGGAATTGGCCCGACTTCCCCAGGGCCAGCCAGCGGCAGAGGGGCAGCCAGGCAGGGGTCTGTCTCTCCTCTGGCTTTTGTTGGCAGCGCGTCTACCCACCGACCATCGACCCGGCCTGCCTATCGATCTGCCTGGCCTGGCCTGGCTGGCGGCAGGCAGGCGACGGAAAACCCGAGGGAAAATTGATCAGCCAGCCAGGGTGCGGCTTGCTGGCCCGCCCGCTCATCCGTCGTTGTTGGCCGCCTACGGGTCAGCAGCCGTCGCCAGTTCACAGAGAGAGAGAGAGAGAGAGAGAGAGCCAAGCAGCGTAAGGCTGGAAGCGTTCATCGAGCTGTCGAATGAAGGCGGCACGCCCTCGCAAGCCTAGATGATCCAAAGGCATGGCAGACCGTCACGATGGTACGCTGGACGGGCTCGGGGTTGGATCGTCGTGGAAGAGGCCGCGCCTGCCGCAGGCTTGCTCGTCCTCGCCGAGCGACAGACGAGGCAGGGGCAGTAGGCAAGCAAGGCGGCTGAGGCAGATGAGAAGGCAGGCAGGCAGGCAGGCAGGCAGGCAGGCAGGGGCTCAAGCAGGGCAGGGCGGCGGACCGGCCTCTATCAGCCAGTCGCCAGAAGCAACGGGCAGAGCGAGGCAAGGCAGGGCATGGCAGGGCAAGGCATGGCAATCAAGGTGGAGCGCGTGGCCCGTGTCCGCTGACGCCGGCCGCGCTCTCCTTCCGGGCCCTCCCACCCCCAAATCTTGGCCGCACCGATCGCCGGCCGCCTGCCTGCGCCTGCAAGCTTCCTCGTCGAGAAGACGCACGCAGCATGGGCGCCCGCTTGCCCGTTGGCCCCCCAACCACTCCGCGGCCTCCTGCCTGGCCCTGGCGCCCTTTGACGTCGTCGCCGCCGCCGCCGCCGCCGCCGCCGCCGCTGCTGCCGCCGTTGTCGTGGCGGTGGGTCCTGCCCGCGGGCCCCTCCGCCGCCAACCCGCAACTCTCTACGTGCCTTCTTAAACCGCCTGCCTCGGTCCGCACACCTTCCTGCGAGCCCTCTCCTCTTTCTCCCCTTCCTTCCTCTCCCCCACCATCCTCTTCCATCCACACCCTCCCAACACTCCATACACATCATCACCATGTCGTTCACGAAAGCCGCCAGCGACGAGAAGGCCATCGCCACCATCCGTGAGTAGCCTCGCTCGCCCCGTCGTCTTCCCGCCACTGCCTGCCGCCCGCCATCCGGTCGTTGGGTCAGGGTCTTCTTCGGCTGCGTTTGAGCCAGCGAGCTGTACGAGGTGATAGAGCTCGACAACTGATTTTGCGCCCGTCATCTGCACCCATCGATCCGCCTCCCCCGCCTCAGGATGCCTTGCCGCTGATGTCGTCGCAAAGTCCAACTCGGGCCACCCTGGTGCGCCCATGGGCATGGCCCCTCTGGCCCACCTCCTCTGGTCCCGGTGAGTGCCGGTTTTGGCTTCCACTGAGGCAGACTGTGGCCTGAGTGCGACGTTGGGCGTCCTGCCTGCCTCCGTGGCGAGAAAGGGGGCTCGTAGTGTATGCGCTGCTGCGGTCGCCCTGGAAGAAGCTCGATGGCTGACCTTTTCCATCTCCTGCGACGAACCTGTGTCGGACCGGCGTCTTCTTGCATCTTCGCAGCTACATGACTGCCAACCCCAAGCACTCGAAGTGGGTGAGTATCCCGGGCCATGCGAGGCAGAGCAGGCGCGAGGAGATTGCCGGACGGACCTGCATCACGAGCAGGGATTGCCGAAGATCTTCTCGCCGCTCCTCTGTGCCCCATCGATCCCGAACGAGCTGAACGCTGACGTTCCGCCTGCCGTGCCCGTGCATCCCCCGCTTCGCCCGATCAGATCAACCGCGACCGCTTCGTCCTGTCGAACGGCCACGCGTGCACCCTGCTCTACATCATGAACCACCTCATGGGCTACAAGGACATGCCCATGGAGCAGCTCAAGCAGTTCCGCCAGCTCGACTCCAAGACCCCCGGCCACCCCGAGGCCAACCACACCGAGGCCGTCGAGGTCACCACCGGTCCCCTCGGACAAGGCTTCGCCAACTCGGTCGGCCTCGCCATTGCCCAGGCCAACCTCGCCGCCACCTTCAACAAGGACGGCTTCCCGCTCTTCACCAACTACACGTACATGTTCACCGGCGACGGATGCCTGCAGGAGGGTATCTCGTCCGAGGCTGCGTCGCTCGCCGGCCACCTCAAGCTCGGCAACCTCATCGCCTTCTACGACGACAACCACATCTCGATTGACGGCGACACTGCGTGCTCCTTCACCGAGGACGTCGAGCAGCGATTCCTCGCCTACGACTGGCACGTCCTCCACGTCCTCGATGGCGACAAGGACATCGAGGGCATCTACAAGGCCATCGAGGAGGCGCGCAAGGTGACCGACAAGCCGTCGCTCATCCGCATCAAGACGACCATCGGTTTCGGCTCCAAGCAGCAGGGTCTCGCCGCCACCCACGGTGCACCCCTCAAGGCCGACGACATCGAGGCCGTCAAGGAGAAGTTCGGCATGGACCCCAAGGAGAAGTTTGTCGTCCCCGAGGACGTCTACGAGGCCTACCGCCAGGTGGGCGAGCGGGGCGCCAAGGCCGACGCCGAGTGGACCGAGATGTTCAAGGCCTACGGCGAAAAGTACCCCAAGGAGCACGCCGAGGTCGCCCGCCGCATCGCCGGCAAGCTCCCCGAGGGCTGGCAGAAGGCTCTCCCCACCTACTCGCCCAGCGACCCCGCCGTCGCCTCGCGCAAGCTCTCCGAGACGGTCCTTGGCAAGCTGGCCGAGGCCATCCCCGAGCTGGTCGGTGGTTCCGCCGACCTGACGGGCTCCAACCTGACGCGCTGGGGCAACGCCGTCGACTTCCAGCACCCCAGCACCCAGCTCGGCGACTACTCGGGCCGCTACATCCGCTACGGTGTGCGCGAGCACGCCATGGGCGCCATCATGAACGGCCTCCACGCCTACGGCATGCACATCCCCACGGCCGGCACCTTCCTCAACTTTGTCTCGTACGCCATCGGCGCCGTCCGCCTGTCGGCCCTGTCCCAGTTCCGCGCCATCTGGGTCGCCACCCACGACTCGATCGGCCTCGGCGAGGACGGCCCGACCCACCAGCCCGTCGAGACGGCCATTGCGCTGCGTGCCATCCCCAACCTCATGTTCTGGAGGCCCGCCGACGGCAACGAGACGTCGGCCGCCTACCTGGTGGCCATCGAGAGCGCCAGCACCCCCTCGGTCCTCGCCCTCTCGCGCCAGAACCTGCCCCAGCTCGAGGGCAGCTCGATCGAGAAGGCGGCCAAGGGTGGCTACGTCCTGACCGAGACCCAGTCGGCCGACATCACGCTCGTCGCCACCGGCTCCGAGGTGGCCATCTGCAACGAGGCCGTCGCCAAGCTCGCAGAGAAGGGTATCAAGGCGCGCCTGGTGTCGATGCCCTGCTTTGAGGTCTTCGACGCCCAGCCGCTCGAGTACCGCCTGTCGGTGCTCCCCTCGGGCAAGCCCATCCTCTCGGTCGAGGCCTACTCGCCGCTCGGCTGGTCCAAGTACGCCCACGTCTCGCACGGCATGGACAACACGTTTGGCAAGTCGGCGCCCGCCCCCGAGCTCTTCAAGGCGTTCAAGATGACGGGCCCGGACGTCGCCGCCAAGGCCGAGCACGTCGTCAAGGCGTTCAAGGGCAAGGAGCTCACCAGCCCCATCGAGCTGGCCAAGCTCATGGAGGTCGCCTAAGCGCGTCGACCGCGATGCGAAGACGCAGAGAGAGAGAGAGAGAGCAAGAAAGCGTAGACGTCTGGCAAGACACCATCGGATGTGATTCTCCCCCCTCCCCTGTTACTCGCTAGTCTCTGTGTCTCGACGGACCAGCCCTGGGTCCGTTCCGCTCCGCTCCGTCCCCGTCCCCGCTCCCGTGTCGTCCGCCGCAAGATAATGATAAGAATGGTGTCACGAGACAACGTCTGAAGGTCGGACTGGATGCTGACCTGACCGACGAGCAGAGGCGCAGCCACTTTACCCTCTGGTTGAGGCCAGGATTTCAGTTCTTGCCTGACCAGAGCCCTCGTTGCCCTGCATGAGGAAGAAGGGCCTGGAGTGCTTGCCGGCTCCACCTGACATGCCATGGTTGTGTGAGGGAGAAGGCGGAGGCCCGGCAAGCTGCAGGCAGGCCTCGATGCGCTCGACCTTGACCCACGACCGACGGCGCGCGCGGGTGCGGGTCTTGAGTTCTAACCTCCACCCCCGTGTCGACCTTCCCTCGGACTTTACGCAGTACTGCACCGCCCGCCATGCATCCGCTCCGTTCAACGACCTCGATCACGTCGTCGCTCCTCAAGCCAACCCCTCATCACTCCTGGTACCGCACTGCCCGCCGCTGCATCTCGACGACCACGACCACCACCATCCATCGTCCGACCTCCCTGCCCACTGCGCTTCGTCGACCCACCGCACCGTCCCATTCTCTCCCACGCCCCTCGCCGCCCCACCACCGACGCGCCATGTCCTCGGTCCCCTCGACGATGCGTGCCGTCCAGATCAAGGACGGCACCGGCCCGTCTTCCTCCCTCTTTATCGGCGAGACCGAGGTGCCCCAGCTCCAAGACGACCAGGTGCTCGTCAAGATCCAGGCGTTTGGCCTCAACCGCATGGACCTCCTCCAGCGCGAGGGCCACTACCCGCTGCCCCCCGGCGCCTCCCCCATCCTCGGCGTCGAGTTTAGCGGCACCGTCGTCGCCACGAAAAACACAAAGACGAGCTGGAACGTGGGCCAGGAGGTGTTTGGCCTCGCCACCGGCGGCGCCTACGCCGAGTACATCCGCGTCCCCTCGAGCATGGTCCTCGAGAAGCCAAAGGAGCTCGACTGGGTCCAGGCGGCCGCCATCCCCGAAAACTTCCTCACCGCCTTCCAGGCGCTCCGCCACCTCGCCGAGATGAAGCAGGGCGACGACGTCCTCATCCACGCCGGCGCCAGCGGCGTCGGCCTCGCCGCCATCCAGCTCGCCCGCGCGTTCGGCGCCAACAAGGTGTTTGCCACCGCCGGATCCGAGGAAAAGGTGCAGTTCTGCCAGCAGATGGGCGCCAACAAGTGCATCAACTACAAGAGCGAGGACTGGGCAGAGGCGCTGGCCAACGAGACGGGCGCAAAGGCGGGAGCGGGCTCGGTCGACGTCATCATGGACTTTGTGGGCGCGCCCTACTTTGAAAAGAACCTCGCCAGCCTCAAGCGCGACGGCAGGCTGGTGCTGCAGGGCTTCATGGGCGGAAGCAAGGTCAAGGAGCTCAACATCGGGCCCTTGCTCTTCAAGCGCCTGCGCGTCGAGGGCTCGACGCTGCGCTCGCGCAGCCTCGAGTACCAGGGCGACCTGGTCCAGGGCTTTGTACGCGAAAAGGGCCTCGAGCGCCTCATCAGCGGCTGCTCGGGCCAGGGAGACGACCACCACAAGATCGTCATCCACAAGGTGAGCTCCAGGGGCCAAGGTCGTCGAACAACAAAGGGGAGGAGTGCTGACCCGCCGCGAAAGACGTACGCCGATGCTCCCTCCCTCCCCCTCTTCCTTGCTGCCAGGTCTACTCCTGGAAGGACATCAAGGACGCGCACGACGAGATGGAAGCCAACAAGAACATTGGAAAAATCATCGTCACCGTCGACTAGGGTCGCGGCGAGCCTCCGTTGCGCAGGGATGTACACGTGGCTGACTGAGCGCCGTCTTGTCGAGCGTATGATTCTTTCCTTCTCTTCTACGTCCTTGGGTGCCAGCTTGGCAAGGTGCGGCTGTGATAGTGTTACAGTGTTCGTCTACGCGACAACGGGCAAGGCGGCCGCTCATTGGGCCGGGATGACCTCCTCGAGGAACTCGGCGATATCCCGAATCTGCGCGGGGTTGGACCGGAAGGCGACAGGGAGAAGGAGAGCTCAGCGGTCTGCGCGCCCCCTGCGCCGCGCGCATCGGCGCCACTCACCTCTTGCGGGCAGGCCGAGTGGGGCATGCCGGGATACGTCTTGAAAGACAGGTTCTTGTCGGGGATGGCGAGGTCGTTTTTGAGGAAGTCGTGGGTGCGCGTGCCGTACTCGTACCGGACGACGGGGTCGACGTCGCCGTGGCCCTGGAAGACGCGGAGGTTGGACGAGGCCTGGTGGCGGAGCGAGGCGATCTTGGCGCGGAGCGGGAGCCAGGTCGAGAGGGCCACGACGCCGGCGACGGGCGACGGGTGGGTGAGGCCGGCGAGGAGCGAGATGGCGCCGCCCTGGCTGAAGCCGCCGACGACGATGCGGTGGCTGGCGATCTTGGTGCCGTCGAGGCCCGAGGCGGTGCCCTCCTCTTCGGCGTTGATGAGCTTCTTGATGGCGTCGGCCGACTTGAGCAGGCCCGCCTCGTCTTCCTTGCCCGAGATGTCGTCCAGCGAGAGGACTGCGGCGGCCGGGCAGGCGGGCGGGCGGATGGAGGGGAAGAGAAGGAGCGTGGTGGCATCAGAGTCCGGCCGTGTCGCCCGTCGCAGCCAAGAGGGTCGCAACCGTGCGCCGGCTGAGGGTCAGGGAGAGGCAACGGGGGCGGACGCACACGACGCCGAAGACCTACTGTCAAACCAGGACGGCATGGGCATGCCCATGTTGAGCGTGACGGGCTGAATGGGCGCGTTGGGCAGCACAAAGCGGACGTGGGCGAGCGAGGGGCGCTGCGAGAGCATCTGCGCCACGTCGGACCAGCCGGCGCTCGAGTCGCCCAGGCCGTGCAGGATAAAGAGGGTGGCGGTCGGCTTGGCGCCCGAGATGGGGTTGATGACCATCGTCTTGAGGAGCGACATGGTGGCGGCAGACGGCGGCGTGGCGGGGCGCGGTGTGAGGCCGAGGAAGAGGGCGAAAAGGACGGCGAGGCCGAGTGCGAGGAGCGTGGGCAGCGTGGGCAGCGTGGGCAGCGTGGTGGGAAGCCAGAAATAGGGCCGATGGCGACAGAGGACGATGGTGCAGATGTGTGTGCAAGCAGGAGGTGGAAGTCGCGAAGGAAAGCCCGACGGTCCCGTCGGTGTTGGCCGTTGCACCGAGGCGCTGCGAGGAAAGAGGGCCAAAAGCCGCCTTGGCCTCTAGTCCCCACGCCCCCTCCCCAAGCAAAAGGAAGAGTCTTTGTGGCAGTGGAGGCCCGCAAGCGGATGGCCGGTGGCATGGTCTGTGCGAGCGCGCTCCGACCCTCGACCCTCCCTCGGCGTTAGCCCTTGACTAGCTCATGTAGAGGGTCGTTGGCGCCATCGCCGGTCGATCCCCCCCCCCCTCCGACCACCACCACCTTCACTTCGATGATCCCAGTCCCGCCCGCTCTCCCATGCTCCTTTCCCTGCCACCACTGCGCTCCGTTCTCTCTCATTCCGCATCTTTCAAGCACGCACACCGCACCATGACCACCCTCGCCGTCGAGATCCAGCGACAGGGCGGCCCCGAGGTCCTCGAGGTCCGCGAGATCCCCAAGCCCACCCCGACCCCGACCCAGGTCCTCGTCAGGAACGAATTCTGCGGCGCCAACTACATAGACGCAGGCATCACCACTTTACCTTCTTTTCGAGCAACGGAGCATCCCAGCTAACCTCCGGTCCCTCTTGCCCTTGCCCTGTCCTTTCTCGCCTTGGTACCCCTCGCCACTCTTACAGACCTACCACTACAGCGGCCTGTACCCGCTCAAGTGTCCCGTCGTCATCGGACAGGAGTCGGCGGGCGTCGTGGAGCAGGTCGGCGAGATGGTGCAGAAGCTCAAGGTCGGCGACCGCGTCGTCAGCTACGGCGCCGGCAGCTACGCCCAGCACCGCGTCGTCGACGAAAACATCCCCGTCCGCATCCCGGACGGCATCGACACGCGCATGGCGGCCGCATCGTACCTCCAGGGACTCACCGGTGCGTCATCGGCCCGCCTCGCCGTACCCTGTCCTCGTCTCCGCGCGCTGACATCTGCCCCTCCCCTCTTGGCAGCCCTCACGCTGATCCGCGAGGCGTACCCGGTGCAAAAGGGCGACTACGTCCTGGTCACGGCCGCTGCGGGCGGTGTGGGCCTGCTGCTGTGCCAGATGGCCTCGGCGGTGGGCGCCCACGTGATTGGCACCGTCTCGACCGAGGCAAAGGCCGAGCTGGCCAGGGCCAACGGCGCCGAGCACGCCCTCATCTACCACGCGGAGCGGCTCGACGAGCTCGTAGCCCAGGTCGACAAGATCACCGGCGGCAAGGGGTGCCAGGGCATCTTTGACGGCGTCGGCAAGGACACGTGGGAGGCCAGCTTCGAGATGATCGCGCGCAAGGGCACCATTGTCACCTTCGGCAACGCCTCGGGCGCCGTGCCCGCCTTCACCCCGCTCAAGCTGGCCGGCAAAAACGTCAAAGTGTGCCGCCCCACGCTCTTCAACTACATCACCACGTCCGAGGAGCGCGAGACCTACTCGGCCGAGCTCTTTGACATGATCCAATCGGGCAAGGTCAAGATCCACGTGCATGACGAGTACCCGTTTACCACCGAGGGCATCCGAAAGGCCCTCGCCGATATCAAGTCGCGCGCCACCACCGGAAAGCTCATCGTCAAGCTCTAAAAGCGGGCGCGGTGCAGCAAGAACGCTGCGAGTCGACGCGGATGGAAAGCGAATGGCGTGTAGTCGGGCGTCGATACGAAAATGGAAGAGTGAGCTGGAAATGGTACAAATGTCGAGGGTGCCTGGGAATAGAGGTGCGAGGAGCCGGCGGCGGGGTGATGCAACGAGAGGGCGCGCGAACGGGATGCGACTGAGCGAGCGAGGAAGCGAGCGAGCGACGAGGGCGAGGTCGAAGACGGTCAACGTGCTGGGCGAGCAGATCAGCGGATGCTCGGAGGGAAACGAGGGCGGGGTCGGAAACGAGGGCGGGCGGGACTGGCCCCGGCCCGACCGCGGCCGGGCGGGGGCGGAGGCGGACAGAGGCTCAGGTGGCCATCCTCTCGGCCTGGACCTTCATGGGAAGGTTGGGGTTCGGGATGAGGGAGCTGGGCGTTCGGACGAGGGGCGACCGCGGCATCGCACCGGCGCCGGCCACGCTGAGCGGCGGGCCGAAGCGACCTCCGCCTGGGCTCATGCCACGCTGCTGCTGCTGCTGCTGCTGCTGCTGGTCGAAGCCTGGTACACCCCCCATGGAGCTCCCGAGCTGTACGCCGAGGCTCGATCCGAGGCTGCCGGGCGAAGGGTTGCGGGGGAGCGGGTGGGTGCCCCGCCGCTCTGGGCTGCGGTCGGGCGAGAGGCGAGGCACGGCGGGCCCCGCCTGCTGCTGCTGCTGCTGGAGGCCACCGTTGGGCAAGGGCTGCGGCGAGCGCAGCGGCTGCTGAAAGATGCCGTTGGGGCTGGCCAGCGCTCCCTTGATCTGCACGGATCCCTGGAACGTCTGCCTGCGCTGGGCTGCCGAGGAACCGGCAAAGGTGGCGCCGGGCGTGACCGGGTTCTGGACGCTGATGAACTTGCTTGGCCCTTCGAGGGGCGCTCCGGTGTTGCTGCCAAACTCGAGCGTGACGCCAGGCTCGTTTTCGAGCTCGAGCAGCTGGAGCACCTTGCGGCCAATCTGGTTGACGCGGTCCACTTTGTTCTTGGATCGCAGCCACACAGAGATCCGGTCGCCGCGCGGACGCAGGCTGCAGACGGCACCGGTCACCTCGTCGTTGTCGTCGAGCTCCTCGCCGACGAGCGCAAGCACCAGCCACATCCAGCTGCGGTCGGTGAGGCCTGGGTTGCTCTGCCGGAAGGTGAGCGTCCACTTGCCTCCGTCGGCGTTGCACGGGTCCTCCCACATCGGCTTAATGCCGTCCTTGAAGATGTGGTAGTTGGAGCTCTTGTCGAGCTGCGATGGTCGTCGCAGCGTCTTGAACGTGCCGAAAAAGGCCTCGACGGTGCGGTATGCTCCGAGGCACTTGAGGTTGGCCTCCCAAGAGGCGCTCGACACCGTCGGAGTCGCCGGAGGCTCGGACGTCGCCGCATCCTGGGCCCCTTCGGACGGGGGGAACGTCGACGACTTGGGCGTCGTGACGGCGGCGCTCGGGTTAAACGTCTTCGAGTCAAAGTACAGGGACCTGGCGGGGCAATGATGGCGAGGCGGACCTGCTGGTCAGCAAGGCCTCGCCGCTCGCACATTGACCTGCAATCGCGACCGGACTCACCACATGTGCTGCAGCGGATGCGTCTTGGGCTGGGGCGAAGTGACCGACATGGCAAAATTCGAGACGGCGGAGGACGGCGTGGGCGGCAGCGACCCTGTCCCCGGACGGAGGATGGTGCGCTCGACCTTGGGCGGCTCGGAGCTGTTGGTCCGGCTGGGCGAGGCGGGCTTGCCCAGGTGCAGCGTCGAGGTGCCGAGGCGCATGATGCTCTCGTCCTTGATGACCGAGTTGTTGCTGGTCTGGAGCGCTTCTTTGCCTGGGATAAAGATGGCGGGGGGCGGCGAGGCTCTCTTCTTCCTGGTCTCTCCTTCGAACGGACCGGAGCCAAACTTGAGCAGCGAGAACGACGGCGAGGGCGATGGCAGCTGGCTGTTTTCCTTGCCGTTGGTCGAGGTCGTGTCGGCGGTGAGGCCCTTTTTGGCCATGCGCTCGCGGATCTCGTCGAGGCTGGGAAGGCCGCTAGGCCCGAGGCGCTTGGTCGGCGAGCTGGAGCCGGATGCCAGTGGGGCACCGTCTGTCGCTCCTAGCGCGGTGGAGTTGAGCTTCGAAGGGCTTGATGGGGCTAGTATCGCGTTGGTCGGCCGTGCTGCATCCTTCGAGGGGCTGCTCGGGTTCGTCGTCGGAAGCAGTCGGCCTGTGAGGTCGAGTCTCGGTCGTCCTGCGGAGTAACGAGGGCGATGGCGAAGGTCGGCGACTCAGATTTTAGTGTCGGGACTCAAGGCGGCGGCGCTGCAACGGAAACGGAAGGCCTGCTTACCCTCGGCGCTGGAGCTCTTGGTTGGTGAGAGGGGGACGCCGTCCTCGTTGGCGTGGTCCTTGTCCACGTTGAGGCTGTCGGGGCGGACGTGGTGGTTGCACGTAGCGAGGCAGGAGAGGAGCAGTGCATGGGTCAGAGGTCAGAGTCCGGCCAGAGCTAAATGAGGCCGTGGTTGGCCGCCCGCCCGTTGCCAACGAGATCCGCGCGTCGACGGGATGATGCGCGACCGCTCGGACCTCTGTCGCGCTTCCAGCTGACTGTCTGGCTGGCTGGCTGTACTGCGGGGCACTCCGCTGGCCAACGATGGCCGGTCAACCCTCGCCCCACCAAAGCGGGCTTCCGATGCTACAAGCGGCGCGAGGCGTCCGTCGTCTGCCGGTGGTCCATGCCTCATTATTGTGTGCGGGACGACACGCCCCTATCGGGTCCGCGGCGGCAGCGCACATGGCCGAGGTCGGGATCCGTGCCGACTTACCGTGCGGCGATATCGCTCAGACTGGGCAGCTTGCTGGGAGATCTGCTATTGCTCCACCGCAGCTCCATCAGGCGGTCGTTTGCACTGGGAACGTTGCGGCTGCTGGGCGAGGCCGGGACCGCTGCAGCTGCGTCCCTTGGCTTGAAGGGCGAGCCGCCGAGGATGTCTGTCGTCGCGGTCATGCTCGGAGTTGCTACGCCCACCGACATTGTGACCGGCTATGTTGGTTGGTTCCTCTGCGCTGTTCGGGATGGTCGATCGCGGGCTCGATCAGGCGGTGGAATGAAATGGTCGGAGGGGGTCGGTGTATCCTCCTCGTGTAGGCAATGGCTGGCCAGCAAAGCAAGATGCTGGAGCAGGGTGTCGTGCAGGGCGTGTAGACAAAGGGCGTTGTCAGAAAAAGCACGAGTCGTGGGTCGCTACGGAAAGGCGGTGCCGTGTGGTTGTGATGGTGGTGGTGGTGGTGGTGGGGGAGGGAGTAGAGGAAGCCGAGCGGGTCACGGGCGCTTATGAGGATGGCCTTGTCGATGGTCGAGGGAATGGCGGTCAGCGGAGCGAAGAGGGGAGCGTCCTGGGGCTGCTCTTGTCGTGGCTTGCCATGTTCAAGGTGAGCAGGGGAGGGGACCATCTCTGACAGGTCGGAGTTTACGGCGCGGGTATACATAGCGTACTCTGTACATACATAGCGAGGTCCCCTTGGAGCACCGGCGCAGGGCTCCCTGACCGCCGCGATGGCTCAGTTGCATCGCGGCCAGGCAGGTGGCTGCAAGGTCGCCAAGAGGCTAGGCAGAGCTAAAACGGCAGTCGAGCGAACCGCGCCTTTGCCTACCAGGTACGGTGCCGGTGAGGTAGAGTGAACCGCCGAAGACAGGCGCCAAAGGGAGGTGGTGATCCTGCCTCTGCCTGCGGTCAGCGGCGATAGCAAACCGAGCGGCAGGCAAAGCACCTGACAGCTACGGCAGCGAGGGGACTTCAGGTGCAGACCAGCCAGCAGGCCGGGCTTTTGTCGTCGATCGAGGTAAGCAAGGGCGGACTGCCTATGGACCTCTATCTGGGACCCCTTTGCTCGCTGCCGACTACAAACAGCCAGCATCTCAGCAGCAGCAACAGCAGCAGCAGCATCAAGAATGTGACTTCTAGAAGGCCGGAAGGTCGCCAATCTCGCATCAGCCTCATCGTCTTCGTCGAGGTGCCAGGGAGTCACGGCTTGTTTACATACGATGCCATTCTTGTACGATACGGCTTCTTTGCGTGGCCATCGGCGTCAAAACTCGCGCGCATCACTCTACGCTGACGGCGGTTGCGACGACGTCCAGGGCCGAAGTCTGCTTGTGGCACGACAGCTAGGCGTTGCAGAGGCCGAGGCTGGGCGGCCTACCGTGGGGACGCTCCGTCGATGTGAATCGATCAGAGCGAGGCACGGTCGGTCAGCGGTCGGGAGAGGTCGCTGCGCCTTTGTGCTCCCGAAGTGGTTGGCCGGGAGGTCACATCGGCAAAGGAGCGACGGGGAGGTGAGGCGCGCATTCCAGTCGGACGCCCGACGATTCCGCCAGCGAGCGCAGTGCGCACCCTAGCCTGTAGTTACGTCTGCTGCCGTCACCAAAGTCGACCCGGTAGGTGGCAATAGGGGGCCAAGGGTGTCCCTGCGAGGAAGGAGAAGGGGCAAGGGAGAGGGGAGGAGGAAGAGGCGGTCGATCGGCCATGGCGTGGGTCGTGCTGCGCCTCCTTGCCGCTGAACCGTGATCCGCGCCGCGCCTTCGCCGCTCCCCCCCGCCTCCCCCCCCCCTTTTGACAGCTTAAAATCGCAGCCGAATCATGCAACCAGCGCACAGAAAATGGGGCGCAAGGGCGCAAGAAGGGGCAGAGACCAACACATCAACACCACGCCGCTACTCGTGCGTCTCGACGGCGCCCGTTTCGGATCCTTTGCCCGCCCCTGTCCCTGCTTGGGCGCGCGTTCCCAAATGGCAGCAAAGCAGGGCACACGCCGGGCGAGCGAACGAGGGACCGTTGGCATGCACGATGCGAGTCTCGGTGCCATCCAGACACACAGAGGAGCAGCGCTGTGGGCCCACTAGTGCCACCATCGGGCCGACGACACCTTGGCGAGCCCACCACCTTCTGCCAGCAGGACGAGGGATATCACTTTTTTGGCCGTGCCACCTTGGTCGGCGTTCCCCATGAGCCGAATTCCTGGCCTTGAAGAAGGGGGGCTGTGCAGTCGACCTGCGCCGCCACTTTGCTTCTTCTCTTTTGCTCCACGCGGATCCGCCGACATGATGCCCGTCCCGTGCCACGGCGTGTCATGGCATGGCATACCCACCTTCGGCCTCATACCGAACAAGCCGATCGGTGATCTTGACAGCAAAGGCGTTGCCCTGGTCCCTGAACCTGATCGCCGCGCCGGGGGCGTGTCCTATCATCGCTGACACCCTCCGCTGCGACTCGCGGGTGCGCCGCAGATCATCGAAACAAGCCAGTCTCGGCGTCGCCGCCGTCGTCGGAGCGGTCCCGCTCGACGCAGCCCGACAAAAGCGCCCATGCCTGAGACAGGGTGCCGCCAAGGCGGGCGCGTGCCTGGTTCAGTCAGCTCCCTCGTTTTCAGCAGCGCTGCGTGCCGGGCGGCGCAAAGCCGGCCGCCATCGTATCAGGCGAACCTTGATGCCAGCGGAAAGGTCCCCGAGCCACGGCCTGGAGAGTGCAGGGATGGCGCATCGGGCGAGGAACCCCACTCCTGCCGGTTCGATCCCGACCATGATCGGGCCTCCCGTAGCTTGTCACCAAGAGCCCGGTGGCGGAGACGTGGTTAGGTGCGAACCAGCAAGGGCGAGCCGCCGCGATATGGCTATACCTAGCCCCGCCCGATCGATCAGACATCGAAGCTCTCTATCCACTTTGAACGCTGCACAGCCGCAACACCCCCATCCGTTGACAAGGCGGGCTCATCAAGATTCGCCACAGAAAATGGAGCGTTACAAGAGTTCGTGAATCGTTTCATACAGGCTCGGTCCGTCGACTCGCATCGCGTCGCTGCCCCAATGGCCGGCGAAAGAGAGATGGAGGAGGACCGGGCTCGCGTCGTTCCCGTCCGCTGCTCAGGCCGGCGGCGTCGTCTAGTTGAAGGTCGGCTTGACGACGTAGGCGCCGCGCTCGATAGAGTTGACGAGCACCTTGCCGCTGGGGAAGGGATAGGCGTTCCAGGAGCCGTAGAAGTCGACGACGTCGTCCTCGGGGCGGACGTCAAAGAAGCCGGCCTCCTTCATCGAGGCGAGGCCGCCGCCGTTGGCGACGTTGCGGACGTCGACGATGCGGAGGCCGCTGGCGTAGTTGGCCTGGTACGAGTAGCCGTTGACGACGTACTGGTTGTGGTCGATGGAGGTGACGGGCGAGCGGTAGGCGCCCTCGAGGACGGGCTTGGAGAGGTTCTTGATGTTCCAGAGGTAGGTGCGCGTGTGGCCGTCGGCGGCCGAGACGGTGGCCTTCTCCTCGTCGAGCTCGTCGTCGAGCAGGAGGTAGGTCTGGCTCGCGTCCGTCAGCCAGCCCTGGTGGGTGTAGGCGCTGCCGCGGTACGGCGTGCGCGAGATGAGCTTGACGTTGCGCTTGTCGCTCACGTCGAGGATGGTGAGCGTGTCTTCGTTGTACGCGAAGCACACCTCCTTGCCCTTGTAGGCCGTGTCGGGGCCGTTGTAGGTGACGCACTGGGCGTCGTGCGTGTAGCCGTCGCCGCCGTAGCACCCGAGGTCCTTGGGCGACAGCGGGTTGCTCACGTCGACAAAGTGCGGGCCGCCCGAGCACGTCGTCTGGCCGACGGCGATGATGACGTTGGGGTTGGCGCTGTTGACAATGTTGTGCGACGAGCCAAAGCCCTTGAAGACGGCGCCGGCGGTGAAGGTCTGGGGCGTCGTGACGGTGAGGAGCTTGCGCAGGTCAAAGATCTGCAGGCCGTGGCCCGAAGCCTCGGCGCCGATGTAGGCGTAATTGCCGATCACCTTGATGTCTCTCCAGATGCTGTTGACGGTCTGGGTGGGGAGGCGTCCGAGGTACTTCATGGCGCCGGTCGAGGCGTTGATCTCGACAAAGGCGGTGCCGTCGGTCTGGCCGACGAGGCCGAACTCGCGTCCGCCCGAGGTCCAGCCCCAGCAGTCGTTGCCCTCGGCGGTCTTGGATCCCATCTCGGTGTGCGAGAGCATGTCGAGCATGTTGACGTTGCGGCACGGGTACTCGCCCGCCTTGCCGTTGACGCAGGTGGCGGCGCGCGGCGCGACGCGGCGTGCGTTGGCGTCCGGGTTGTACTTGCCACACAGGCCCTGCTCGCGGCACCGCTGGCGCGAGGCCTCCTTGTGCGCCATCAGGCCTTCGACCTGCATCAGGCTCTGTCGCGTCGTCAGCTGGCCCGGAGCGGCGGCGACATCAGACGTGGCCGAGAAGAGCGCGAGGGCGCTGGCCACGAGGAGGGCGCTGAGCTTGAATCCCTTCATGGTCGTCGGGTTGGCGGGGGTTGGGGCTGGCGTAGGTAGGGAAGAGGGCGAGGCAAAGGTTAGGAGAAGTGGTACTTTGGGGTTTTCTCGTGCGGGGAACTGGACGGGAGGGCGGCGCATATATGGCAAGAGGACCTCCACGACCGCCCAAGGCCGCCTCGACATGCCTGCCAAGGGGTTTGGGGTCGATTTCGCAAGCATCGTCCCTCTAGCGCATTCCATCGCGGGCGGTTCGAGGCCCCGTCCATCAGTGTCCGCCTCTTGCTCCACAGCGAATGCACACAGCCGCATGGTAGAGGATGAGCCATAGCGACACCTGACGTGCGGCGAACAGACCGGCGCGAGCTTGGCGGTTGTCGAGGAGCGAGCAAGGTTCGTGTTCAGGGGGTGGTGCGCGGAGCTAAGTGCGAGAAGGCTCATCCTTGCGCATCGCCTCGTTTGATGTTCGGCTGTTTGCCCTCGATAACGATACGCTTCGAGGTGCAGAGCGGAGGAGGATGATCCGGTGCAAGAGACGATGGGTTGCCGACCCCTCGCCCACGGTAGGAGGAGAGCCCAAGCGCTCTAGGGAGGCAGCAGGCCACCCAACTACTGAGCAGGCAACGGACCGGCTTCTTTGCCGACGCCGAGGGTCGTCAGCGCCTTCCAGCCCAGCGCAGTCGAGGTTCGGTTGGGACCATGCATATGCTTGAGCGTCGAGTGAAGGAGTAGGCTGATGATGGCTGCAGCGGGAGAAGGCGGAGATCGACGCTAGATGGCCGATGGTCAAGGGGCTCTCGTGCTTGCCACCAGCAGCCCATGGCACCCGCGTCGTTTGATAAGCGATGAAGACGCGCACGGTGCTAGAGGGTCGGAGGACATGGATGCGAACGAGCAGCAGAGGTGTGCGCCAAGAGTACGTACGCCCAAGAAGCGGACCAGATGGGACCCGACCTTGCGGATCATGGTCCGTGATGTCCGCCCACCTCGCTCGGCGATGCCCCTCCTCGACTCCGCCCGCGACCCTCATGCGCCCAGCTGTCACTTTGCGCGTGCCGCTCCGCCCCCGTCTGGCCCGCAGCGCAGCGCTGGACGCCCGTTGCCCGCGCATCTGATCTGGTCGATGACGGCGGTTCGGCCAGACTCGCGGATCGTCGGACACCTCCATCCAAGCCGTTTCAGTCGTCGCAACGCTATGGCAAGCCGGTTTGGCGGGTAGGGACGCTTTTTCCTGGCCCACGCCGCCAAGGTCGGGCTGGTCGCCTCCGACGGCCACTCTGATCCGCTCGACGACTTTGCTAGCCGAGGGGCAAGCAACGACGCGGCGGGGACGCTGACAGGGAGACGATAGCGTACCGCAACCGTGACCCGTCCACTCGGAGACAGAGCTAGCCGGGGTCCTCTTGCACTTTATTGTACGTACAGAGCGAGGAGGAGGCGAGGTGACGACGGCGAGAGCCTCGAGGTGGCGGACACGGGTCCATGTCGCAGCGGTCGGCGCAGTCCGTTCCGTGTCAATCAAGGCAGGCGTGGGCCCGCCTTGGTTTGCATGCCAAGACCTCGCCTGGCCATCACGTACAGCCAGCAGGTTCCCCGACCCCCCCGCCTCACTACTCCTTCCCGAGCCGCTTGCTTGCTCGACGACTCGATATCCTTCTCGATCCTCTTCGCCTCTTCATCCCGCCTCATTGGAGAAAACGCCGAAGATAGCAACCTGCTTGTCCGTCACCGCGGGCCATCCACGATGGCTTGTGTGCTTTGCGCCATTTTCGCTCGTCATCGTACCCTCGTACTTGGTTCTTCCGCGCTGCTTGGCTGCTCGAAGCCTCGGGCCGGTCGTCGACACCGCAGCTTCTTCCCGCTGCCCAGTAGTCTTTCTTCCAGGCTTCTCCCTTCCCTCGGGCATCCAGCCGATCCGCTCAGACCGCCTTCGAGGGTTAAGTTATACGCACGCACGGCCGTTCCCCGCTCGACGGCGCCTCGACCTGGTCACCGATGGAGGCAAACATGAACGGTACGGCGGTACAAGCTCAAGCTTCCCAACTCCGCAGAGTCGCCCGCCAGTTCGTTGCACTCCGATGCCGACTCGGGATCCTGCTGGTGGCGAGAGCAGAAAAGCCAAGCGCGAGCCGGCAAGCGACGCAGTCTCCTCTGGCGCAGCCCTCGTCACGCCCCGCGGTGGGCTGTGCTCGACGGTCAATCCCCGCTGCAGCGCCCTGGACGCATGAGACTGTCCCACGCCGCTGCAGCGAGCCAGAGAGTGCGGGGAAGACGTCGATCCAAAGCAACGGACGGAGCGAGCGAGCGAGCGATGGCGGCGAACATGGCGCAACGCGGGCGCTGGCGGCCAAGTCTATGCCGTCCCTGCCAGTGCCCCTGCCCGTGTGACCCCTCGTGGGACCTTGCACATGGCCAACAAGGCCAAGACAGCGGTGTCGATGGCTGGACGCCATGCTTCCTTGAGGCCCCGATTGCGGAACTAGACGGACAAAGGACGGCTATGTGGCCGGCAAAGTGCGGGACGCTCCGCGCCACAGATGCTGGACGTCGAAGAGGGGCATGCTGACCGTTTCATTCTCGCCCACGCCAGAGGCAAGCGGCCGTCGTCCTCCTTCCTCATGCAGGCGCCTCGGCCAGGCCGATCAGGATCCGCCGCATCAGCCACAGGTACTTCTCCACCTTTTCCGTGCTCCAGGTGTTGAGGTCGTGTCCCAGCTCCAGCGTCAGGCAGCCGCCGATGGTGAAGGCCGTACCGAACGCCTCGCCCTCTCTGCAACGCACGCCGATCAGCATGTTCGTGCCCACCTCGAGGCGAGCGCCCGTCGCACCGGATCCCCAAGATGATGGCAGGGTGAGGTTGACGCCGGAAAAGATGCCGTCCAGGGAGCCGAGCATGCTGTAGTTGAGCGACGAGCCGGGGCCCTGCATGTTCTTCTTGAGGTGGCCTGGTCTATGCTCGTCGTTATCGTCGTCGTCGTCGTCGTCGTCGTCGTCGTTTGCTTCTGCTTCGTCGTCCTTCTGGGGTGCGGCGGCAAAGACGTCGCGCACACCTTGCACACGGAAGCGGTTCTCGCGGTCCAGCGCCGTGACGAAGCCGTCGGCCATCATCATCGGCGGATGGCGGAACATGGCGTCGAGCCGCTTCTGCGCGTGCCGAGCCATCTGCCACAGCTGCACCTGGTCGCGACGGTTCAGCGAACCGTCCTGTACCGCCGAAGGGTCTGTGCTCAGAGAAAAGACGTCGGGAGCTGGGAACGAGATGCCCCCAAATCCGAGCTGCACCGACAGCGTCGAAGGGCGAGCGGGCTCGTCAAGGGCAGCATCAGCCCTTCCCTCGAAGACGGTCGACTCGGGCCGCAGGTACTGCCGGATGCTAAAGGGAAAGCCCATCACCGTGCTCTTGGTGACGTCGGCATGCTGAGCGCCACCATTGACGGCTTCCCTGTCGTCCTCGATGGCCAGCTGGTTGAGGGCGCAGGCCGAGACGGCGTACAGGAGTGCTCCGATGCGGACGCCCTTGCGCTTCGCGACCGCCACGATCAATCCAGTCTCTCTGGCATCGAGTCGTTCCGCTGACCAGTTGGTATGGGCGCCCCAGTCTCGCTCTTCGCTCGGCGAAAGGGCGTCTGCGTCGCTGATGCGGGCGGCGAAGTCCGTCAGGCGGTCGTTGAGAGAGCGTGCCGATCTCACCTGGGCACGCACCCGACGCAGCGCCCAGAACCATCGCGTCCGAGCGAGCGATGCCGAGCCAGTTGCGCTTGGGTCGAGGAACGGCGGGTAGGCCGCTTCGATCGGTGGAGGAAGCAGGGGCTCGATGAAGTCGGGCGACATGGCGCCCGCCCCGCCGTCTGCGCGCCGGTGGTCTCTGAGTAGCCCTGTCTCGAGCGCGGCGGCGATCTCGTCCGACACGCTTCCGAACTCCTTGTGCGTGGCGCCAGGAAAGGTGGCTTCGGACGGTACATCTCGCACATTGCCCAGCGAGTGCGGCAGGTCGTCGGACGTCAAGAGGCCAAGGAGCTCAGCCGCCAGAGACGAAACCGAGAGGCCGTCACCAACACAGTGCGCCACGCACAGCACCAAGTCGATCGAGGCGAGCGAGCCGCCGGTGGCTGACTGCGGCGTGGGAAGGACAAGCACCCTCCCGAGTCCGTAGGGGTGTTTCTGGCTCAAGAACCGCCGAGGCCCGTTCCAGACGTACTGCTTCAGCCATCTCTTGGTACGGTCTCCGTCGAGAGTTTGCTCAGCTGGCGCCTTCTTGGCGGCCGGCTGGGCTATCGTCTCTGACCAGTCGGGCGAGAGGAAGAGCACCCGTTCTCTTGCTCGGTCGAGGAGCTCGCCGGCCGAGGAGGGTACCTGGTAGACGAAGTGAGGTTCCGAGAGGGCCGAGGCTGAGCCGTCGCCGCTGCCGCTGTGGCGCAAGGACTTGGCCCGCTCCTCGTCGAAGCGTTCGAGATCCGGCGTCAGTTCCACGACGTGCGACGAGAGCAACGGGTGCCTGCGGCATAGGACGGCGTAGGCCAGCGGCAGTCGCGCCAGCAATTTGTCCTTGGCCTCTGCAGGGAAGCGGAGGGGTATGCGGTGGAAGATGTCGGTGCGACCGTGGTGGAGCGAGCTCATGGTGCTGAAGAAGGACTGGCAAGCAGAGGGCCGGCGAGGTGAGCAGGGCATCGGCCCGATGTTCAGCCTTGCCATCTCGCGAGAGCATGCACAGAGCCCAGCAGAAGCCGAGTGCTCACCTCTACGAGACCCATCCTGCGCACGTAGGTGCGATCGCCGAGGTGCGCGGGCGCGCGGAGCCATCGCAATGGCGAGGGCTTGCCGACGTCGGCGACGCTGCGCACGAAGCGCTGGGTTGGGCCCGCGGTCGAGCTGGGCTCGAAGCCGCCGGACGTCGACTTTTGGGATGCCATCGTGGGTCGGTAATCGTCACCGGCGTTGGAATGGAGTCAGAAGAGGGAGGCACGGGGTCATGGTCGGGGGCAGGTTAGGACGGAGGGCGTGGAGCATGATGCCCTTTGGCTCGAAGGCGGCTGGCTGCGCCTGCAGAGTTCTTCTTGGCTTGCTGGCGAGCTCAGCACTCTGAGGTGGAGGCAGGCCTCGCTCTGACTCGGCCCAGGGAGCGCCGCGCGAAGGGCTGGACTGCCTTGCTTGCTTGGCCTGCCTACCTGCCTGCCTGCCTGCCTGTCGCAATGCTAAGGATGATGGTAGTCGTGCTGGCTCGACGGTGTCGGTCAGCTTGTCGCCCCCTGACAAGCAGCGGTCTGGTCTGACCCACCTCCCTTAGCTTCTTGGCTGGCTGCCAGGGTTGGCCTGGGCCAGGCTGGCCTGCCCAGTGCCCGCAGAGGTATGTAACGAGGCTAGGGGGAGGTCTGCTCGGCAAGCCCTGGGCGAGGGGCTCCAGGCGGGCTACGCTGGGGGCGGGGGCAGATGAGGTCTAGCTCTTGTCTGCAGGCTGCTGCCGCGATTCCAACGTGCAGCGGCAGCTCCGACCCTAGCCTCTCTGCCTGCCTGCCTGCCTGCCTGCCTGCCTCTGGGCTGGCCACGGCGTAGCTTTCCCTGGCCTGGCCGGGCCTCTGCCATCTCCGTTGCCTTCTCCACACACACACTCACACACATACGCTCCTCGCTATCCGTCTCCCTCCGAGCACTTGGCAGCAGCAGCAGCAGCAGCCTACTTCAACTTTGCTCCTTCTCTCCCGCTCGTGGCCTCTGCTACTACCACACACCGCCACCTCAAATCCCTTCGGCATCGATCCTGGCATCGACTTGACGACGGCCAGCAGCACCAGGAGGGCGCCTCTCGGAACCTCCGATCTCGGCTTCGCACCTCGCTGCTCACCTTCGAGTGTCGGAGCGCCTTGAAGGTCGCTCTCCTACCAGTTCGGATCCTTTCACCTCCTCCTGCCGCCGTCCGGCCCGAGTCAACAGCATCGGCAGCAGCCCGACCTCGAGCGTAAGCCTATTGTATCGGCCTCGACCCTTGGCCATGTCCGGCCAACCATCGGATGCCGGCGCACCCGGCATGGCTTCCGCCGCCGATGCCGCCGACATTGCCACCGACTCGCCCACCCACACCGCCACCAGGAAGGCCTCGTCGTCGCAGCAGCCGCTGCGGCATGGGCGCAAGCCCATCTACCCGGACAGCGATGCCGAGGCCGAGGGGCTCGACGCCGACGTTGACGACGAGCAGCTAGAGACGGGCCTCGCAAACGTCAATGGCAACGACGAGCGCAGCTCCCTCCTCTCTGGGCCTGGCGGACGGAATGCCAAGCACGCGTCATCCACCACCGCCGGCTGGACCTTTGTCGACCATGTCCGCGCCAGGCTGCCGCGCGCGCTCGGAGGCGATCCGGCTCGAGCTTCCAAGCTGCGCAGGGCGCAGAGGCGGCACACGTCGACCGCCTCGTCGGCCCCATCCCGACGCAACTCGCGCAACCTCTCGTCGGCGTCTGGCGGGTCGTCGTCGTTCGCCGCTTGGCGGCACAAGCACCCGAATGTGGTGCGCACCGCCTACTGCGTCCTCGGCCTCGTCGCGCTCGTCGTCGTCCTCTTTGCCATGGCCGTTGCGCACTTTTTCCTCACCATTCCGTCGGCGCCCTCGGCCGAGGCGCAGTCAAAGATGCTCGACGAATCGCTGCTGCTCAAGGGCCCGGATCGCCTGCAGCTGCTCAACATCTCCGACGACGGCGTCCTCGTCCGCGTCGACGCCAGGCTCGGCATCGATCCGGACCACGCCCTCGACACCTGGCTCGGGGCCAAGGGATCGCAGGGCTGGCTCAAGAACCAGGAGCGCAAGGTCGTCGAATGGGCCATGGGCAAGGTGGCGGGCGTGCAGGTCGACATCGGCGAGGTGCGCCTCGCAGAGATGGGCGCGGCCTGGTCCGACGCTGCCTTGGACGGGGCAGGGTTTGGCGTCCAGCTCCTCGAGTCCGGCCCTGCCTTTGAGCCCCTCGACTTGCTCTCGTTCCACCTCGATCCCGTCATCCTGCCGCTACCACCCCTCAACCGCAAGGTGCCCGCCGATGATGCCGACGAGTCGTCCAAGCCTCCCATCCTCGGCAATCACAGCACGCCCGCGGCCCGCCACAACATGCACCCGCTCAACCTCACCGTGCTCCTCAAGCCCGTCTCGCCCGCCGAGCACATCATGGAGTACGCAAAGGCCGCCGTCACGACGGGCAAGGCCAAGCTCGACGTCAAGATCAGCAGCCTCCGCGTCCGGGGTCTCGGCGACAAGGAGGTACGCCACGGCATCGTCGACGGACGCAGAAAGACGAGCTGGTTCGACGTGCCCCGGCGCATCGACGTCAGCCAGCGCCTGATCCGCAGCCCGGTCAAAGAGAGGGTCCCCAAGCTCAAGAACGACACCGATACCGAGGACCTGCTCAAGCTCGATGGCTACGAGTTCTTCGAGATCGGCCAGGACGACGAGGACCTGTCCACGTCGGCGATGCGCGCGCTCGGCATCCGCGCCAAGGCCATGGCCAAGAACCCGCTCGGCCGTACGCTGCAAGGCCAGGTTGGCTACAGCCTTCCGTTCGGCATCTACCTGCCCGTCGGTGCGCCTGCCGCGGCGCCGGTCCCGTCCGCTGCCGATGGCCAAGACAAGAACACGGCCGACGACTCGGTACTCATGGCCGTGGTGGCCACCGAGCCGTTTGCGTTGACCGGTCAGAAGAAGGTCCGGCTGAACCTCGAGGGGAGGGTGGTGCCGCCTCCCAAAGACAGCAAGCCCCGGCTGCAGACTGTCGATGGCGGGGCGCCGTCCCGCTACGAGGCTGCAGCTGCATCCCAGCTCGTCTTTTCGAGCGGACCCGGATCGCTTCCAGCGGCCGCCTCGCACTCGGACGAGGAGGAAGACGACGCCAGAGCCGCCGCGGGCGAAGACACCCCGCAGCAGGCCGCGCTGAGCAACTTCCTCAGCAAGTTCCTGCGCGGTGATCCCAACACCGTCTACGTGCGCGGCGGGTCTCCCTTCAGCAAGCCCGCCGACGGCCAGCAGAACCGAAGCCTGGCGACGGATGGAGACGGAGCGGAGTTGCCCGGGGGAGGATCGGTGCTGCCGGCCTGGATGGACTCGGCGCTGCGCCTCGTCGACCTGCCCATCAGCTTCCCCGGCAGCAAGGTGACTGACCTGATCAAGAACGTGACCATCGCCGACCTCAAGATCACGCCGCACCCGTTCGAAAAGGACAAGCTGCTGTGCAGCGGCACCGTCATGGGCGTCATGAACCTGCCCGGCCAGCTCAGCACGGTCGACGTCAAGATCACGCACCTGTGGCCCGACATCCTCGTCTACGACGGCAAGCCCCCGAGCATGCGCAACCCGGGCCACGGCGGCGACGGTGACGATGACGACGATGGTGGTGACGGCGACGACGACGGCGACGGTGACGACGATGACGAGGTCGAGAGCCGCCGCGGCGCCAGCAAGTGGGCCAAGCGCACCGCCAGCCTCTCGCCGAGCAGCCTGACTGCCCTGACGGATCTTATGGCGTTTCCGGACTCGTTGTTCGGATCCTCGAAGTCCAAGGAGGAGCCTGCGCCGCCGCTGCCGGACCCTCTGCCCTCCAAGGCGTTTGGTCGGGTGCGACCGCACGACTTTGCGCCCGCCACGACGTTCCCGGACCCGTCGGACCCGACGGGCCAGACCAAGCTGCTGCGGTCCGAGCTCAAGGACGTGCCGTTCACGGTGCTACCCGGGCGCGGGCCCATTTTCCGCTCGTTTACCTGGAAGCTCGTGACGGGCGAAGGTGCGCTGGCGGGCATCGAGGGCACCAGCCGCGCCAAGATCTGGAACTCGGGCCTGGGCACGCTGCAGCTGCGCAACCTGCCGGTCAAGGGGGCCTTTGTCGTCGGCAAGCGCGGCTGAGTGCAAGTGCAAGTGCAAGTGCAAGTGCGTGCAGCGTGGGGGCTGGCTATGAAGTTGCGACGTGCTCTGCCTCTGTCTGCCTGCTGCCTCTGTTTTCGCCATGCTCAGCTGGGTGCCACAGTCGCGCTGCCGCTCGCGGCGAGACAGAGGAGACCATCTCCTGAATCTATCCTCTGTTTTTTGGCGCGCCCCATCTCGCGGACGATCTGGATCCCATCTTGTTTTCTCTTCCCTGCCTCCCCCTGTTGTCGCTATTTCCCATTGAATTTCGCTCGTATTTCCCTATCCATGCGCCCTTTGCCGTGCCTTGGCCATGCTTCAATCGAAGACCGATGACCCTGGAACGAGACGGGGGCAGACTGTTTCAGACGGATCGACGAAGCATCAAGGCCGGCGCGGAACGAGTGGGTAGCAGAGAGCGTGCCAGCAAGGCAAGGGGGTGCGGGGAGAGAGCCGGGTTGCGATCGACGCTAAGTCTCGGCCCACAGCTGTCGGGATGTGGCATCAGCTTCGGGGGACGAGTCGCGGTAGTTGCGGGCGTTGAGCTCTATTCCTCCCGCTCCTCTCCGCTGTTCCGCCCGCCCTCGGGCTGAAAGGCAAAGATCAGAGCGACATCGACAGAGTGCGGGGAAGGAAGGCAGGGCAGCCGTCGGATAGGCTGCCGTAACAAGTTCTGACTGCGGGGTTGTCGGTCTGTCTGTCTGTCGGAAGCCAAGGAAGCCTTCTCTGCAAACGTACCTGACCCGATCCTAACCGGCGAGAGGGGCCAACGTGAAACCGACAGGGCGGAAGGCGAGGCAGCTTGCTCATCTAGCTTGCTCCTGCCTCAGCCCCTCGACTATGGTACCAAGGACTACCTGGCGCCAAAGGCTGCTGCTGCTGGCGTGTGGGAGGAAAGGGTCGGTCCATGTTCCTGCATCGCCCGAGTGAGGGGGCAAGCGCTAGGATTGGGCGTTTCCCCGCATTGTCCAGCCTTCTACAGTAGGCTACAGTAGGCGGGCTGGTCGTCTCGGACCTAGCCGGAAAGGGACGTCGAATTCCGATCGCGCAAGAGCAAAGCTGAGGAGAGCGGCAGCGACCGTCGAGGAGCAAAGGTGGCTTGGCTTGGCTTGGCTACAGGAGCTGTGTGTAGATCGTGAGCCGACTTTCACGAGCCAACGTGCAGCGGCGGCGGCGGCGGCGGCGTCGAGGCGGCATGAGAAGAGCAGAGGCAGAGGCAGGCGAAGCGGGCGTGGCATGGCCCATGTGACGGAGTCGAGACGGGCGGGCGGGCGGGCGGACGGGCGTTGACTTGGATCGAGTTCGAGCAAGGGTACAGGCGGGCGGGCGCTTAGGCCGTCTGGTTCGGGTTGTCAAGGCCTGGCAGGCCCTGCTGGATCTGGTACGCACTCGACCGGAACCGTACCGACCGTTACCCCACCTTGGACCTCGGTCCATTTCGGTACGGAGCGACGACGACGACGACGACGAGGGAGGCGAGGGGATCGTGTCTTTGCTCGTAGCCGTAGCCAGGGCATCGTCGTCGTCGTGGGTGAGCAGCCCCTGAGCAGCCGGCCGCAGCGAGGGGGGTCTCTCGCACCGTGCGCCAGAGAAAGTCGCGGCCTCGAAGGGAGCGAAGGGCCAGGCCGACCGAGCGCGAATCGCCCGTCGGGCAAGCAGTCGACAGCCGACAGGCACCAGGTAGGCGGATGCGCATAGACGAGGAGGAGCTCGCTTGCCAGCCGAGATGGACCCAACGCATCGCAAATCGCCTCGACTGCGGGTACGGTGCACCCTCCGCGAGCCGCTAACTAGAGCCCTTAACTTGCCCGCCAGTAGGGCGCTCGAGCCGCATCGATGTCGATCCCCTCGCCCCTACCTGTACCATCTTGGCCCTTTCCAACCTTCGACGATGGACGATGGCGGCCAAGGTGGCTAAGGACGTTTGTATCGATTTGTCGGCGCTCCGACTCGATGATGACGACGACGACCATCTCAGCCCCGCTCATCCGCCCCTTTGGCGTCCCGACCCAGCGACGAGGGCCTCTGATGTAGGGTTATTTCGGTGAATGGCCTACTGCAGCCCAGCTGGCTGCGTGCCGCCGTTTGGCCGTTGGTTCGGAGCGTCAAATTTATCCGCATAGCAGCCGATGCGGGTCATTGCGCTGCCGCCTGCTGTCCTGCTGTGCTGCTGCTGCTGGCGCTGGCTCTGGCGTTGGCGCTGGTGCTGCGGCGGCTGGCAAAGAAAGCAAACGAACAAAGTCGTGGCCTGCAGGCGGCATCGCCTCGCTCGCTGCCTGGGAACACGGCGATGGGCAACGATACGATGCACCTTTGTCGATCTGATTGGCCCCATGCACGAGCTGAGCAGCGAGCGCTACGCTAGCTCGCCGGGAAGCCCAAAAAGAGAGCTTTGTTCGCCGTCGGGCTGGTGGCTGGCGCATCGTCGTCGTCGACGACGTCGTTGTCGTCGCTGCACATCATGTCGTCGACGTCGCCGTCGCCGTCTGGCGCCCCGCACATCCAGCGTGCGCCCCCGCACCAGGAAGTAGCGCATTGCGAGCCTGGCACACGACCTGGCCGACGCCACCTCGATCGTGTCGGAGCTCATTTCGACGAAGTTGGACATGGATCCTCGCACCTGCCCTTCGCCACTGTGCGTACCCTCGAGCCCGCCCGCCGCGCTGCATTGTACCTGCCCCCCCCCCCCCCCCTACTGCCGCGGTCACGGTGCCGGCTCAAGTGTAGGTAGAGCCCAGGCGGTCGGGCCGCTCGTCTACCGCAGCCACCGTGGTACGGATGGGGTCGATAGGAGGGAAAAGGCGGCGGCTCTCTCTGGCAGGCGCACGCGTGCATCGCTGCATTCGGACAAAGCGGCGGCTGGATGGGAATTCAAAGTCGGCAAAATTGAAATCGCCTGGCTGGCTGGCTGGCTGGCTGGCCGCCTCTGGGCTGGGGCTAGGGCTAGGGCCGGCCCTGTCGCTGGAGCTGGACCCCACCAACCCCCGCCTCGTTTGTAGTCGATCGACCCGGTGCAGCTTGCTTGCAGGCCAGCCTGATGCGCGCTGCTGCTACGCGAGCTCAGGCTGCAGCGAGCGGGCCTGGCTAGGCACTTGGCCGCCTTCCCCATCCTGCCTGGCCTGGCCTGGCCTGGCCTGTCGCGCCCGCGGTTTCGTTTACGCGGGGGGGCGAGCGAGCCGCAATGGCCGCGCCTTTTGGCTCCATCCGACCCCCTGGGTTATCGATACCCGCGAAGTCGGAAGGGGGCCGAGGGCACCGTTGAGATGAAGCTGTGTGCAGAGGGAAGAGGCGAGCGCACGGCAGAGAGGCACCAAGAAGCTGCAAGCTTGAGGTCTGCCGTCGACAATGCGGAGGCGCCAGGCTGGGGCGGAGCGAGCGAGACACACCGGCCCACGGCAGCGCAGTGCGGCGCCAGGGCTGAGGCTGCTGGCCTCTCCTTGACCCCGCAAATGGGCATCCAGCGCGCGCTGCAAATCCCAGCCTGGCTTTGCTTGCTTGCCTGCGTTTGGCGAAAGGCGAAGCGAGGCGAGGCGAGGCGGAGCAGCGGCGGACCTGCTGGCCTCGAGGGCAAGCAAGGGCAGGCGGGCAGGCCAGCAAACCAACGAGACAGGGCTGGGCTAGGGTAGCGCTCCCTCGCTCCCCTTCTCTCGCCATGCATCTCTTGTCTGCCCGCCCTGCCCTGTCTGGAACCGCCCGACCAGCCTAAACACGGCCGCCATTATTCTGCGCCGCCACCACCAGCTAGGCCAGGCCAGGCGGGATCCGATCCCAGTCACCGCCTGCCTGCCCGCCCGCCTATTCCCCATTGCCTGCGGGGCTGCACTCGTAGCTTGAACCGGGCCAGACCAGACCAGACCAGACCAGACCAGGCCAGACCAGACCAGACCAGACCAGACCAGACCAGCCTAGCCTGCTCCGCTCTTGCTTGCTCTGCACACGCACACCTCCGCCTTCGCTTGCTGCTGCTGCTGCTGCTGCTTCTCCGCGCCTGCCTGCCCTCGCTCGCCCTTGGCGCCCCGCTCTCGTCTGCCCTCGTCGCCGCCCTCGTCCATCCACTCACACCTCCCCTGGTACTCCTGGCCTCGTCCTTCGCCACCCACATCATCCATCAAGGCGGCGTGCGTGCTCCTCCGTCCTCCTCTCCTCCACCCTCCCCTCCTTAACCCTCCCCCTCTCCACCCCTACGCCTTCGGGCCCCATCCTGCTCGCTCTCTGCCTCGACACGGATCTCGACCGCCGACCGACGCCGCTCTCGGAGTCTCCTCCTTGCTGATCCTCGACCTGCGACGACGAGCCGCGCGCGATACCCCGTCTCGCTCCCCTTTGGCCTGCTTCGTCTTCCGGCACGCCAGTCCCTCTATCGCACACAGCGCGACCGACATCACCCCATGCCACGCACCTGATCCCGTCGCGCTCCACCACCGCCGTACGACTCCAAGGGGACTTTTTCTTCTGGACCGACCTCGGCTTCGACTTGGACCTTGATCCCGACCTCGACCCCGACCTCGTCTTTGTTGGATCTGCATCGCGCTCCCTCTCCATCGGACGCGCCGCCACCACCCCCGTTTCCCAGCCTCCGGACCCCATATACCCCCTCCGGTCCTTGCGCCGGGCGGCTTTTGATTTGACTGCGGCAGCCACCCACAGACGCCAGTAAAGCGCAGCAGCGGCGACCCCCACGGCCATAGCGTTCCCCACACAGCGCGCGCAGCGGCTAGGCGGCGACGATGGCGGACAACGGCTACGGCTCGCGCGAGAACCTCCGTCGCAGGAGCGGGCCCAGCCCCACCTTTGATTCGGGCGCACCGGCGGGCGGCTTCTACCAGCCAGGCCAGCCCATCGGCTTCCTGAAGGCTCGCGGCACCCCCTACGAGAAAAAGTACCTCTCCCGCAAGCTCGGCTTCTGCTGCCTGTTTGTCGCTCCCGGCTTCATCCTGGTCACGCTCGTCATTACCCTCGTCCCCGTCCTCTACGCCATTGGCAACCACGCCCTGCACACCTCGAGCCTGCACGTCTACGCCTCCAACATCACCTCGCCCGGCAATGCCTCGTTCCCGCTCACCCTCGAGGGTCAGGTCAAGAAGACCGGCATCTTCCCTGCCCACCTCTACTTTCGCGAGCCCGTCCAGGTGTTCTGGGTGACGCCGCCGGAAGAGGGCCTGCGTGAGGTCAATCTCGGCCAGTTCAACCTCGACTACATTGGCGTCGCTGCCGGACACGGCCGGATCAAGCAGGTGAGTCGCCGCCGCCGTCGTCGTCTCGCTCTTGCCCCACCGCCCTGCCCGCCCCTCCTTCCTCCAGGTTGCTGACGTTCCGCGCTCCGCGCTCCTCGCTTCCGTCCCTCCGCTCTGCATTTCCCCGTTGCACCCACGCAGGCGTCCAACTTCATCATCAACGACCAGGCGGCGTTTGGATCCTTTGCCAGGTTCCTCATCACCCAGCCCGAGTTCACCTGGAAGCTCCGTTGCGGCAATGTCCACGTCGAGGCCTTCTCGTTCCTGCCGACGTACAAGAACCTCAAGTTCTCAAAGAACATCATCATCAAGGGGTTCAACAACTTTGAAAACGTCGGCATCCTCGACTTCCAGCTGCCCGGCGACGACCCGCAGGGCGGCGTCACGCTCCAGGTCACGACCTCGCTCACCAACCCGTCGCCCTTTGGCGTCGAGATCGGCACGCTGGCGGTGGATCTCTACTACAAGGGCATGTACCTGGGCCCGGCCTCGACGAGCAACCTCAACGTCACGGCCGGCACCAACATCATCACGCTCAGCGGCCGGCTGATCCCGCACAACACCAACCAGACGGAGCTGGACCTGCTCGGCGAGCTCTTCACCGGCTACATCAATGGCCAGACGCTGCCCACCGAGGCGCGCGGCGTGTCGGCGACGCAGGCCGACGGCTCCAAGGTGGCCTGGCTGTCCGAGGGTATCACGGCCCTCACGATCGCCGTGCCGCTCAAGGCCCCGGAGCCCATCAGCCCCATCAAGAGCATCACGATCGGCTCCCTCGCCCTCGTCTACACGCCCGAGACGGCCTTTAGCCCGACGGCCTTTTCGAGCGCCCTCTCGGCCACGCTTGGCCTTCCGTTCGGCTTCTCGCTCAACATTGTCAGCACCGCCAACACCATCACCCTGCTCTACAACGGGGCCCAGGTCGGCACGATCCAGGGCGCCTACTCGAACACGACGACCAAGCTCGACCTGATCAGCGCCGGCCAGACGGCAGGCACGCTCGACCTGACGCTGCCGCCGTCGCTCCTGACGCTGCCCAACCAGACCGAGGCGGCCAAGACGGAGCTCGAGAACTTCCAGAAGTACTTCACCTTCAGCTCCGGCACGGGCATCCGGCTGCAGGGCGCGGCTCGCGCCCTCACCGACACGCCCCTGGGCCGCGTGGTGCTCAACGGCATCCTCTTCGACGTCGACAGCGGCATCCTGGGCCTGCAGGGCCTGACCGCTTACCCGACCATCATCAACACGGTCGACGTCGTCGGCGGCAGCCGCGACGGCATCAACCTCGTCGTCGGCACCACGCTCGTCAACCCGTCCAACCTCAACCTGACCATTGGAGACAGCATCCTCCAGCTCGCCAAGGACGGCTCGACGCTCGGCACCGTCACCCTGCCCAACCTCAACCTGATGCAGGGCCGCAACGACATCAACGCCACGTCGGTCTTCAACCCCAACGTCAGCCCGCAGGGCTACGAGACGCTGAACCGTTTCATCTCGGGCCAGGACACGCTGCTCGACATCAACGGCTTCCAGGGGTCGAGCCAGGTCGAGTCGCTCGTGCCCGCCCTCTCGGCGCTGCGCCTCAACGCGACGCTGCCCGGCCTGACGTCGAGCCTGGTCAAGTCGGCCAACCTGACCGTGCTCGACACTACGGGCATCACCGACGACGTTGCCAACTCGGTCGTCTTCCTGGCCAACCCGTTTACGTCGCCGCTGACCATCACCCGGATCCGCTCCAACGTCACCTCGCACGGCATCTTTGTGGCAAGCATCGACACGCCGCTCAACTTTGCCGCGGCCGGCAAGGCGACGACCCAGTCGCCGCCCATCCCGCTCAGCCTCAACCTGTACCCGCCGGACATTTTCGGCCTGGTGCGTGCCCTGGCGGTCCAGTCCGGACAGAACCCTGCCTACATCGACGGCGTCGTCCAGCTCGGCGGCTACACCCTGACCCCCGCCACCGAGGCCAACACCATGACCCGCCGCTCGCTCGAGGAGCGTGCCTTTGGCGGCGAGGACGGCGACGAGGCATCGGACACGTTCGACCTGTTCGAGGACGACGAGATGGCCCAGACTCTGGCGGGCGTCGGCAACAACGCCGCCGCTCTGGCCGACATGGCGGCTCGCGAGCAGGAGGCGCCGGCCTGGCGCTACGTCAAGCGGGACGAGGACCTTTCTGCCCTCGAACCCGCCCCCAAGGCGCTGTCGAGCCACGAGGTCCGCCAGGCGCTGCTGCAGAAGCGCGACAACCTGTACACCGGCTTCGACCTGCCCACCTACATCTCGCGCGGCTTCTCGGTGGCCACCGCCAACCTCGAGATCGCCTCGGACGCCCAGATTGGCGACTACAGCACCCAGCTCACCTTCTCGCAGAGCAACGTGCCGCTCGGCACCGACGTGACGCTCAACAAGCTGCTCCCCGTGCTCGCCGGGCCCATTGTGCAGAAGATTGTCGACGGCGCCATCCTGGCCATCGACCGGGTCACGATCCTGGACCCGCAGCCCAACTCGTTCCGCACCGCGCTGCAGGGCACCATCACCAACGCCGGTCCCTTTGACGCCGTCATCCAATTCACCGAGGGCCTCACCATCAGCTGGGAGGGCCGTCCGCTGGGCCAGATCGCCTTCCCCAACGTGTCGCTGGCCGGCGACGTCGGCGCGACGCTCGAGCTCGAGGCGCAGTTTGCCGTCGCCGACGTGGGCTACCTCACCGAGTTCACCAAGTACCTCCTCACCCAGCAGAGCTTCGTCTGGAACATTGCTGGCAAGGGTCTCAAGGTCAGCGCGCTCGGCATCGCCGTGCCCGACGTGACGATCTCCAAGGACGTCATCCTGTCCGGCTTCAACGGCCTCAAGAACAGCGTCATCATCAACTCGTTTGACCTGCCGTCCAACGACCCGGCGGGCGGTATCCGACTGACGGCCGACACAACCATCTACAACCCGTCGCAGGTCGGCGTCCAGCTCTCGAGGTTCGGCGTCGGCATCACGCGCAACGGCAGCTACATCGGACCGAGCGCCGCCGAGTCCGAGTTTGTCCTGCAGGCGCTGGCCGTGACGACGCTGCCGCTCGTCGGCCGACTGGTGCCCCAGACCTCGGACGCCGGCCTCGCCGCGCTCTCCGAGATCTTCACCAACTTTGTCGGCGGCGTCAACACCGACGTCACCATCAACGGCGACTACGCCGGCCCCGACTCGGTCCGCTGGCTCAACGACGGCATCAAGGTGCTCCAGACCATCGTCGCCCTGCCGGCGCAGAAGTTCACCGTCATCCGCAGCATCAGCCTCAACCAGCTGTCGCTCTTCTTCACGCCCCAGACGGCCTGGTCGCCCTCGACGAGCTCGACCAACACGACGTCCAACTTCTTCATCCCCTTCGCCTTCCCGATCGACATCCAGCAGGTCGGCGGCGGCTTCATCGCAAACTACCTCAACCGCGACGTCGCCGTCCTCGACATCCCGCTGTCGCCCTCGATCACCGACGTCGTGGCGCGCATCCTGACGCTTATGTTCACCAACGTGCCCTTCGCCGTGTACGGCGACCAGCACCCGGCCTTTTCGCAGTTCCTCGCCGACACGACCGCCGGCACGCAGGTGAGGTTCAACCTCAACGGCAAGGCCGACACCAAGGCCAACACGGCCGCCGGCCTGGTCTCGATCACCAACATCCCCTTCAACGTCGACACCAACATCCTGGGTCTGCAGAACCTCGGAGCGCGGCCAGTCACCGTGTCGGACCTCGACGTGTACCACGGCTACCCGTCGTACCTGCTGATCAAGATCACCGCCACCCTCTTCAACCCGTCGGACATCACCATCGGCACCGGCGACGTCGTCTTTGACCTCTACTTCATGGGCAAGAAGATCGGCACCGCCAACATCTACAACCTCGTCCTCGTCCCCGGCGAGAACCGCGTGCCGACCGACGTCAAGTACTCGCCCCAGGGCGCGGCCAACGTGGCGGCGGGCCAGATGCTGCTCGAGAACTACGTCCAGGGCATCGTCTCGGACACCATCATCCAGGGCACGCGCGACACGACGCCCATCGAGTCGCTCAAGCAGGCGCTCTCGGGCATCAGCCTCAAGGCCTCGATCCCGCCGCTCAACCAGCTCCTCATCATCCAGGCCGCCCTGGTGATCCCGAAGGACATTGCGCAGTCCGGCTTCGCCCAGGCCACCTTCATGCTGCAGAACCCTTTCACCGCGTCGATCAACCTGCTTCAGGTCAAGGCCGACGCGTCGTACCAGGGCATCTTCCTCGGCGAGATCAACGAGAACCTGCGTCGGCGCGTCATCTCGGCGCCGGGCAAGACGACGATCGAGTCGTACCCGCTGCCGTTCAAGTTCAACCTGGACCCCAAGACGCTCATCCGCTTCGTCTCGGCCGCCGCCGCCAACACGGGCACGTCCCTCGGGCCGCTGCCGCCGCTCTTCGACCAGGTGCTGGCGCAGGAGTCGACCGACACCACCGTCAGCCCCTACCCCGACGACAGCCCGCCGCCGTGCAGCTCCGGCAACCAGTTCGACGTCCAGGGCGCCGTCCTCCGCCTGCTCCAGGGCCTCACCACGACCCTCAACGTCGAGTCGACGGTCAAGCTCGACGACTACCAGACGGACCTCAACTTTGTGCAGCAGCCCGTGCCCACCAAGACTGACCAGACCGCCCTCTACCTGCTCGGCCCGGCGGGCGCGCCCATCGTCCAGAACCTCGTCAACCAGGCCACGCTGACCGTGGCGATCGCCAACGTCACCGAGGTCACCAACACGGGCTTCAAGGTCGACCTCCAGGGCGCCCTGCTCGGCACCGGTCCGTTTGACGCCTACATCGAGTTCCCCGAGCCCCTCACCGTCACCTGGCAGGGCAGCGACATTGCCACCCTGTCGCTGCCGCCGATCTGCGCCTTTGCCAACGAGGGCGTGCCCAACCTGGTCACCTCGGGCCAGCTCCAGATCACCAATTTGCGCCGCTTCACCGACTTTGCCACCTACATCCTGCACAACCCCGGCTTCCAGTGGACCGTCAGCTCGCGCAAGCTGCGCGTCCGCGCGCTCGGCATCGCGTTCAGCAACGTCATCATCTCGAAGAACATCGACTTCAAGGCGTTCAACAACCTGCCGGGCGTCGAGACGTTCAACTTTGACATCCCCGGCGAGACGAGCAACTCGCTCATCATCCAGACCGGAGCGAGGATCCCGTCGCCCGCCACGCTGGGCATCCAGCTCGACACGGCCAACTTCGAGATCTTCTTCATGGGCACCGACATCGGCCCCGTCAACTCGCGCAACCTCTTCCTCGCCGCGCTCACCACGACGACGACCGAGCTCTACGGCCAGATCACGGCCAAGTCCGGCCAGGGTCTCGCCAACACGGGCATCCTCTTCACCAACTTCCTCCAGGGCAAGGACCAGATCCTCCAGGTCAAGGGCGTCTCGGTCGTCACCCAGGCCAACGGCAACCAGCCCGTCAACTGGCTCTCAGCCGCCTTCCGCACCCTGACGCTCGACGTTCTGCTGCCCGGCAAGATCTACCAGATCATCTACTCGATCACCATCTCGGACCTGACCGTCAAGCTGATCGGCAATCCGGCCGACTCGTACACGGTGCCCTCGGGCTCCAACTCGACCATCGCCACGTTTGCCAACCCCTTCATGTTCAGCCTGCAGCCGATCCAGGCCGCGCCGGCCATCCAGATCGTTTACAACGGTGGCGACACGGCCCGCCTCAACCTGCCCAAGTCCAACGTCCAGGCGGGCACCTCGCGCGGGCCCCAGGACTTCCAGATCCTCCAGCTCATGTGGCGAGACGAGCCCATCGTCGCCGGCGACCGGCCCAACTTCCAGGCCTTCTTCGCCCAGCTCACCGACACGCCCCGCGGCACCTTCGACCTGCGCGGATCGACCGACGTCGTGGCGCGCACCGTCATCGGAGACATCCCCATCGGCGGCATCCCCTTCAACGTCACCACCACCCTCACGGGCATCAACAGCTTCAACGGCGTCACGTCGCTCTCGGACGTCATGGTCAGCAGCGGCTCGCCCGACTTTATCTGGATCCCGCTCAAGGTCACGCTGTTCAACCCGTCCAACCTCACCGTCTTCACCAACGAGGTCTTCCTGCCCGTCCTCTTCCTCGACACGTTTGTCGGCCGCGCCGAGATCCCCGTCCTCGGCCTCATCCCGGGCAACAACCTGGTCCAGTCGTACTTCTACTACGCGCCCACCAACGCCAACGACACCAACGCACAGCTGCTGCTCAACCGCTATGTGCAGCCCGCGCTCAGCGACGGCAAGAGCCCGCAGAGCGCCGACCTGGTCATCGACGGCTCGCGCGGCCCGCAGACCAACCTCACGCCCTACGACTCGCTCCGTCCGGCGCTGGCCGGCGTCAAGCTCACCACGACGCTGCAGGGCGTGGCGCTGCGCATCGTGACCCAGGTCAACGTCTACATCGGCCTCGAGACGCTCCTCTCGGGCATCGGCAACATCATCCTCGGCAAGGCGGCGCCCACGACGGTCGAGATCACCATCTCGCTCGTCAACCAGCTCGACACCAACCTCTACCTCGACGGCCTTCAGACCTCGGCCAAGATTGCCGGCTCCAACCCCAAGGACGCCAGCAACCCGGACGCCACCGTGTCGTACACGTTCCCGAATCCGCTCGCCGTACCCGCCAAGGGCGGCACCGCCACCTCGGGCCGCATCCCCAACGTCGTCCTAACCCAGGGCCTGCTGGGCAGTCTGGACGTCATTGGCAAGAACCTCGACCTGTACAACCAGATCACGGCCAACCTCGGTCAGTCGGCGGGCGACAGCTACCGCATCCCGGCGCTCATCTACAACGAGCTCGACGTGCCGGCCACCTACTTTATCGACGCATCGCCGCTGCCCATCCAGCTGCCCCTCATCGGTGGTCTGGATGACCTCATCGGCCTGCTCGGTGAGCTTGGCGCTGCACCCGGCATCGCACAGCTGCTGGGCCAGCTGGCCCAGGGCGGTCTCCTCGGCGGCGTCACTGGCGTCGGCGCCCAGCTGCTCTGCGGTCTCTCCGGCATCCCGGCCGTCGGAGGCATCCTCGGCGGTCTCCTCGGCGGCATCCAGCGAAACGCCAGCTGCCCCGGCGCGCCCCCGGCCCCGACGACGGCGTCGTCGAGCGCGACGACCAACCTGCTCAGCTCGGCCACGTCGGCTCTCGCGAGCGGCGCTGGCGCTGCCACCTCTGCCGTCGGCTCGGTGGCGTCCGAGGCGGCAGGTGCCGTCACCAGCGCCGTTGCAGCGGTCCCTCTGCCGTCGAGTCGGGCGCGGCGGCCGTCACCAGCGCTGCGGGCGCAGCCGTGACGGGCGACAGCAACCCGCTCGCACCCGTCCTGAGCGGTCTGGGTATCGGTCGCCGAGACGCAGCACCGACACCGCCCGCACAGGCGTGGGGCCACGGGCCATACCAGCGGATGCGCGAGATGTAAGGTGGCGTGCCTACCTTGCATCTCGCGCGCGTGCCCGCCCCCCGTGATGGCGGTGCCGCCGCTGCCGGGTCTCCTTGGCCCCCCTTATCTTATCTTTTCTCTTCTCTGTTCCATGCCTTTTTTGCTCTTTCGTCGCTGCCGTCCCAAGCGGCTTCGACATTTGCTACAAAACGTGCTCTCGCTGCTTCACCGGTCTCCACGCTCCTTTTTATCCCTCTCCTGGCGGCGCGGAGACTGTTGCACCAGGTCCGCCCCCGGGGCCCCCCCATTCACGCTCGTTTTACGACATCGACGACCCGAGGGCGGGGCGGCCAGAGACGGTCGTGGGATGGTGTAGTGAGGGATCCCGCTCGCCTCATCTCTGGGTCTCTTCGTTTGCACCGTTCCCCTGTCCTCGCCTCCCCCTCCCCGCGTCGTCAGTATCCACGCTCTCTTTGCACGGTGCGGTCGTGTCGGCCCGGGCCGACGTTCCTTCCGTTGCCTCCTACCTGCTCGAATCTCTCTCTCTGCCTTTCCGGTGCAGCCGTAGTCGTTGTAAGATCCCTCTGGCTCCTCCTGCTGCTTCCCACGTCGTCGCTCCGCGGTCCTCTCGTTGCTCTTTCGTGCCCTTTGTCCCCCTTAGCCACCCTCTGCGGTCCATCGTCTCGTGTCATACCCTCTTCTTGCCCCTTTTCCCCCACTTTGGTTCGTTCGTTTTGAGAGAGGAGAGCAAAGAGATGGCTTGTAAAACCCCGTTTGGTCTCGTGGCCCTTCCTTGCTGCTTCTGTGTTGGCCGTGAGGGGCTTGTGAGCTCGTTCCTGGGTATTTGCTCTAGGAGGACGCAGAAGAGGCACGCAGGCGTTGACGAAGCAATCGAGGGCGAGGCGGGGCGATGCAGCCCAGGTCGGGCCGAGCGAATCAAAATCCCATCCCAGCCACCTCAGCGTGTCTGCACATCCCGACCGGGCGGTCAC